TGGGGGGTGGGGGAGGGTTTAGCTAGAGGGGATGGCATAAGCACACATATTTACAGGCTTCCGGTTTTGCTCGTACTAGTTTTTTTAATGTCAAAATGTGTAACGAGAAATATTATAGTGGTATATAGATAGAAAAAGTGCATTAACACCAACAAGTTAACAAACAGATGAACACACACACACACGCATACAAACAAACAAACAGACGGACATGACAAACAAACAGACAGCAGACGGAGATGGTGGTAGTGGTACCCGACAAAAGTCTTTGTGTAGACCTGACTGTACTGTACTCAACGTCTGGACGTGTGGTGGGTGTGAGTGAGCTGTAACTATAACCTATTTGTGTACCGACGCGGGGTAATCAGGCGCTCGTCAAATCTGGAACATAAAATTGACTTATTGGTATCATTCTTAAAGCTTGTTCATTTGTCTTGCTTTTGAGGAAAAAAATACCTACCTATCTTGAATCTAAGTCGATATTTTTACTATTGAAGGAAGTAGGGGTCGCTTGATGTGAGAGGTGTGATTTGCGAGAAAATGGTCTCCTAATTTTGTTGACTTTCTAAGCGTGAGTGTCCTCGAAAGCTGCAAACTTATAACTTTTCCATCCTTTAATCTTCGTTTTCTGTTGTTTAAAAAAAATATATATATCAAAGTGCATTTAAAAACATGTTATGAATGGACATAAACGGTGTTGAGCCAAAAAATAAATTCATAAAAATTGCCCATCAAGCTGGGGAAAAAACGTCTGTTTCAATGATTTTTTAATTTTTATTTTGACGAGAGCCTGATTTCACCTCGATGTCACACATTTGGTGAGTGAGCCCATTCCGCGACAATATCTCCCAGCTGTTTAGTAGCGCCATACTTCATGGGTTGCGTTTCCAGCACCAGGCATTCCGGGATTTCCCGTAGTTACGGTCCGGTGCACATTTTGCAGGATTCTGAGAGACTTATTGGGGTGAGGATGCAGCCATGGGTGCTGAGGGGAACGGGTGGGGTCTATACGTTCTTCTTACTATCTCTGAGCGTCTAGGGTGGGATTGGTGGGGATGTGAGAGGAGGGGG